GTAATGCAAAGGGCACGTCCGTAAGGGTGCAATATATATATATTCAGAAATGTTCGTTGTATTATTCGGGGCGCGCCCCGAATTAACGGGTGGTAATTAAAACACAATAATCAGGTCAAAAGATTCTAATTGAGTGTAAGAAATGATGAAAATTAGGATATTTGGGAATATTTATTTTTGGAACATATTCTTGGTTGCCTTGCAACAAACAATGACAAATGGAAAGAAATAAATTATCTTTTTCAAGTATTTCAACGCCTAGTGACCGATTCTGAGAGAGCTATTTTTCTAAAATCTGTATTTCGAGGAATTGCCCCCTGGTGACTCGAGTCACCGTACATCTACAAGGAGTGCTATCTCTTATCCCCAGAACTGCCCTAGGGATCAGGATTCCTCTAGTTTACTGATGGAATGCATATAACATCCTGCGCCATCTCCCTTTCCCTTCTATCTTCCAGATATCTGGAAGATAGGGAGTAATATTATTACTCCCTCGTGGAAAGTCGGACGAAGCTTCACACTCGCAGGCCAGTCGGTCCACAGACGGAACCCGCCATTACCAGGACATCCAACAGGCGAAGGCCCCTCTACGTCCTGTGATTTGAAGTTGAAATTTGAATTTAAACCTGTGCTGCCTGGGCGTGGGCTACCGGGTATAAAAGTATGGGAACGTTTATGGGGTTGCGTTAGAAAAATACTAGCTTCTATTATTAAATGGAAGCAGAGAGATATGAGGCACAATTGGGTTAAGTGGGAGAGGATGGGGGCATTATGCAAGTCATGTAAGGCTGGAGTAGTTTATTCCTAACGCTGGGGTTCGCTTTTAAAGTGTTTAAAAAATTGCCGTTATAAAGGGTCGCTCATTTAGCTTCGGTAAAAGTAGGAAAAAACGTGTTGATCGGTTGTTAACTATACTTACCTAAAACACAATTCTGCCAAATTGAGTCCATTTGTTTTGGTACAAAACATTTATTTACTAGTTACACATTTTTCAAAAAGTAAAACAAATTTAGTTCAGTTCAGTTTTCACAGGACGAATTGTGGCTCTTGCCAATCGCGCGTCCAGTTATTTTTGTTGTCGGCGGTTTCGTTTGCTTCCAACACTTCGAGTCAATAGTAGGCATAATGTTAGTGTGCAGTCTTGAAGTCTTGAAGTGATTCACGGGTTCGAGGCTGTTGCCCAAATGTCCCGGGTCCTTGAAAGGTATCTGTGTTTTCTTTTGGTTTGAATTACCTCTGCGGGGCCAGGGAGAACAGATCCAGGTCCCGCAGTCGTTGGAGGTATCCCTTATCTTTCTGGCCTGCTACCATTCTAGTAGCTAAGCGCTGTACTTTCTCAAGATAGCGTTCGTCCTGTTTAAAATAAGGCGTGTAGTGACCATGATTGTACGAAAAAAAGGAGCAATCCACGAGGACGTTTTCCGTTCATATTTTCTTCACAATCAACTCTGACTCGAAATGTGATGTTTCTTTGTTTTCCTTCTGTTTGTTTTACCGAGCACGGTATTCACCTCAGGCCTGTTCAAACCCACGCTACACGTGTGACACGCTTTCGCTCTGCTACTGTATTTATTGCTTGCATTGTTTAGCGTCACCTTGGCACGTTTCGGTACTATCTAGTACCACGATTAACCAATAAACGTCTCGACTCCCACGAGTGTTTTTGTCTATTTTGGGGCAACGAGACACTATAATAAACGTTTACGAATCCCACGAGTGTTTTTGTCTACCTCGGGCAACGAGACACTCGGAGGTCGCGCGCATATTGAGACTCGTAAGAAGACTTATCGGCAGGCCGTCAACGTCGGTTAGCTTCAGGTGCCCATGCCTGTACGCAGTATTCTAAATGTGGACGCACTATGGTTTTGTACAACGGTACAGGGTCTACAGCGCACAACCTGAAAAGTTCGTGTCGAGTTATATTAGCCGCACGCTTGCACTGTAGGGATGGCCTGAAATCGGCCGTGATCCTTTACCTCAGAGACATGCTGCAGATGCAGCACACCTCTCCTGTCATCATTGGCTCTTGTGGTCAAGAGCTGACACTTACCTAGATTCATTGGCAGATCCCACTTATCCGACCACCTTCGAACTCCATCTGGATCCCGCTCCATTCATTCCACAGCTAAATTTACATCATCGGCGAACATGAAGCAAGGATTTTGGAGATCCTTTGCAGGGTCTTCAATGAAGATGAAAAATAATCAGGGACCCAACAACGATCCCTGTGGGACATCACTCGATACTCCCTCAGTTTCGGTTGTATAATTTCCAACTCTCACACTGAATGTGCAACAACTGAGAAATTGTCTAATCCATTCTCTTGCTTTGCCTAGGATCCCCACTGTCTGCACTTTTAGATCCAGAAGCTGATGACTGACTGAGTCGAAAGCTTTACTGAAATTTAGGTAGCAAACCTCTACTTGGCGACCTGCATCTATTCTTTTTGTAACTTCGTCTAGAAATCCAGTAGGTCAGGTCAGGTGGCACAAGACGATAAAGGCTTTCGCCAACCGAGCGTCCAGATTCTTGCTCTAGCCGGAAACACGTTCTTCCGGAGCTTCTACTTCTTGTCGACCACAGCCGATTTCTTCGTTTCGAACTGTCTCCCTTGGCGCGCCCATAACTGCAAAAGGAGGTTATTTGAAAAAGGGCAGCACCTACTGTCAGTAGCAGGTACCCTACAAGATCTCTGGATACAGGCTCGTCCAGACCCCATTTAGCTGCCTTTTGAACTAGTCAACTGTTCTTCAGTCTATTAGTGAAGATGGTAGCTGATTTCACTTATCTATCACTCTACTCGTGAAGAAGTTATACCTAAGTTTGAATCGGCCTGTGGGCTTCATTAGCTTTAGATGATGCACCCTTGTTGACTCGAGCGGTGCTCGGGTAAACAGGCTATCCACCAGTCCAGTCAGCCCCTTTATTATTTTGAAGGTCTCAATAACGTCGCCTCTCAGGCGTCTCCACTCCATGGAGAAAAGCCCTAGGGATTCTAACCTCTCCCTATATGACTTACCCCTCATTCCCGCGATCATTCTAGTAGCTAACCGTTGAACCCTCGCAATGCAAATGATATCCTTCTTCAAGTAAGGCACCGAAGACTGCACGCAGTATTCTAACTGCGGTCTATGGAATTATATACAGGTAGGAAAACCTCAGTCTTCCTTGACGACAACGACGCCTTAAGCTGGAACAATTGCCCCCCTCGCATTTTTTGCGGCGGTTAGGCATTGATCACTGGGCTTAAAGTCCTTGCGGACCAAAATTACCAGATCCAGCATTCGGTCTACGCGAGCGAAGACCGTCAGTTCAGTGGTCGTAGCCACGCACACCGGAAGCCCCTCGGTATTTAGAACGTGGCACTCGGTGGCGTTTAGCTCCAATTCCCACTTCATTGTCCACCGGACCACCTTAGCCAGATCACCCCCAAGTTGACCTACAGGTCCTGAGTTCACTAGCTTGACGTCGCCGGCAAAGATTAAGGCAGGAACCGCTAGTTCCTGGACCAAGTCATATATAAACAGCAGGAGGAGCATCGGGCCCAGCACTAAGCCCTGAGGCACTCCGCTGGATACGTTGCCGACGTTTGGCAGAGCTTCTCCCACTCGAACTCTATAGGTCTGGTTTGTGAGGAAAGCTTCTATCCATCTAATTAGAGCTATCGGGAGACCAAAACCCCTGAGCTTCATTAGTAGGAGTCGGTGATTTACCGAGTCGAAAGCTTTCCTGAAGTCCAGGTAGCACACTTCGATTTTCTGACCTCCATCCAACTTCCTTGTAACTTCGTCTAAGAAACAAAGAAGGTTGCTCAGACACGAACTCTTTTTGAGAACAATGGTTTCCAAGCCCTTACACAGCACGCTGGTCAAACTTACGGGTTTCTAGTTACCAGGTTACTTCCTATCTCCACTCTTGTGGATGGCTACCACTGTGGCAGTCTCAGTCCCTAGGTACTCTCCCAGCCCTAAGGGACTCCTGATAGAGTGCGGTTATCGCGAGGGCGAGCACTTGAGCCAGTGGCCTGATGATGGCCGGATGTAGCCCGTCGCTGCCGGCAGATTTGTTCACATTCAAGTTCTCCAGAACCTTGAGAACACAACTAGTTGAGACTTCCACATCACCCATTGGAGGGGTGTTTAAACA